AATTTATAGAATACAATTGATAATGTTCGAAAAGTTGCGGAATTTACAGGCTTGCCTACATCCGAAACAGTTCTGCAAAAGACTGTCGAAAACTCATCGGCTAAAAAGACAAAAGTAGTCATGGATAACGGAGTATCCGACGCTGCGAAACAGGTCGGTGTAGGAAATTTTGTGCGTAAAGGTACGGTATTGTTTTCTCAGTCTATAGCAACGTTCCGCAAGCATGTTATGTGCATCCCAAAAATGGGACGCCGAGAAAATCACAGAGCTACAAAGCGTTTTTCTATTTGATCTTAGACAGGGGTGGATTAAGGTGCGTGGGCCGGGCTGCTCCCCTTTTGGAAAGGAAAAAAAAAAGAAAAAAAAATGACTAAAAAAAAAAATATTGATCGCCCAAAACGCCTGAGAGGTTATGTTCGTGCGTCTAGAAAACAAAGGTTCCCTGCTAGTGTAGCAATGATTCTCATTTTTCGATCCGGAAAGCGGGACTTTTTGTTCAAAAGCACAACATACTTTGGGACAACTTAAGCGTACCCGCTAGTGAGGCATACTTTGTTACTTTGTTCATGTAGTATCGTATGTCTATTTTTTCTTTTTTTGAAATGAGTAATTATGAAAACGATTGGACAATTAAAAAAATTAAAAGTTTATATAGGTCTCCCTCCAATTAACGACCACTTTTAGGACTAGCTTTTTCGTGGCCTTCCTTTATCAGAGGTTTGGATAATTGAAAAAAATAATCATATAATAATGAAAGCAGAAATGCAGCAATTAAAACGTTCACAAAAAGAATATATATATTTTCATGACTTTCAAATTAAACATAAAATTAAACATACAGAATCGTGGAAAAAAAAAACGAATCGAGAGAGGAACAAAGAAGCCCTAGACTCGTCCATATAACAGGAAGGCAAGGCAAGGAGACAAAGAGGGACATTCGCAAAAACCAGGGTTAGAGGACGGACAGAAATGTATGAAAATTACAGAAAAAATACATAATTCAAAAGTTTCTTTAAAAATTTGATTTAGAAAAGTAAATCGTAATTTTTTCTTTTAATTATTAGTATATATATTTACATATTTGTATACAATATCGACTAAAGTATAATAACAATATAAATAAACACGTAAAATAAACACATAAATAAATTAGGTTATCTGATAAACATCTCTGTCGTACTGCGATTAATCACTATATTTTTTTGGCATCTCGCACTCCATCATGAGGTCACATGGCGTTTACCGTAGCCGGCAGACATTTGGCCTACACAGACTGACTATTTTTTGAGAATAATTGGGTTTTTATAATTATGTTGGACAAAATTATAATTTCCGTAGAAATGGAATATTTCCGTAGTAGTTAGGCATTAGGTAGTAGTAGTTAATTTCTGAACGTTCGTAATTGGACCAAATGTCCGTAGAAATGGTATCAACTACAGACAATCCGTAGTACTTGAGAAGTCTAGCATTGGTTACTGAATTGCGTTTTACGCTAACTTAAGAGTAGCACCTTTCCTCACAATCCCCATCTCCCCCACCCCTTCTTGTCAGCGCCCTCCTACTGGACAGCACCACCAACGAGCGAATTAAGTTGAGTAAAAAGAATTCGAGTATGGAAGCTAATAAAATTTAGTGTCATCAAAGCCTAATCCCTTACGACTGCTCTATTACTCTCCCCCCATGATAATGAGGTTGATAATAATGAAGGTGATGATGATAATGAAGGTGATGATGCAGATGTAGGTGATGATGAAGATGATGATGTGGCAGTGGTGGTGTTTATTATCATGACAGTTTATTATCATGATAGTGATGATAATATCAATTGGTGAAGATAAGATATGATGTGATGATTCATTTTGTTTATCATTCAGGTATTGTTGGTGATTGGAAATGCACATTTACCGTATCTCAGAGTGCAGCATATGATGAAATAATAAGGAATTACCTGAAAGGAACGGGACTAGTATTTGAGTATGAATAAGTATTATACAGTTTCGACGGCTAAAGCTCTCTATCCACACTATCAAATTTAATTTGAAAAATACCTATTCGTACATATGGCATCATCATGCCCATATATGGATGTCATGATGGATATATGGATGTTGAATGACATCTTTTTTATATATGGATGTTGTATGATCACCATGTCTGTATATGAATGTGATATGACATCATCATGTCCATATATGGATGTGATATGGCATCATCATGTCCATATATGGATGTGATATATCATCATGTCCATGTTATGAGTTATTCACACAAAATTGTCACATGAAACATCTTAGTATGCCTAGAGCTTGGCGTCTGATAAAGTTTTCATGAACATAATGGAGTTTGAATATAATACTGTATTACATTTACAGTTATAGGCCTATTTTGAATATTTTTAAAATTTATGTAAAAATAAGATATGTTTTAAAAAATATGTGAGTGCCAGTAATTATATAAATATCACATTATAATTATGGAGACAATATTTAAATTATTACATAGAAGTCCATTTATATTAGCACCATTAATATCTTGGAATTTTTAATGGTTTCTTTGGGGTTTTTAGAAGGCAATTAATTACAGTTCAGACACTATCGTAGCAGAATTAGTTAACAGGTAGGAATAATTTGTTGTTGCATCAGAGTCTCATGAACTTTTCCGTTAAGCTGTGTCTCTTGGATACTGATGCTAAAAGTTCCATAAAAACATCAGCAAAAGCGTTAGTGGAACAGCAAGTGTGTTTGTGAAGTGTGACAATAACGTTCCTAGAACGGTTCCGATTGGCCATTTGTTAAGTTTGGTTGACACGACGGGAAGGTCCATCGTGTGGTCCATGAAGAGAGTTTGAATATGTGTAGATATATATTTTTAAATTATGTGAATGATATCGTATTCGAACATATGGATGTGATATGGCATCATTATGTCCATATATGGATGTGATATATCATCATGTCCATGTTATGAGTTATTCACACATTTGTCACATGAAACATCTTAGTATGCCTAGAGCTTGGCGTCTGATAAAGTTTTCATGAACAAAGGTTCAGGACTACATAATGGAGTTGAAATATAATACTGTATTACATATACAGTTATAGGCCTATTTTGAATGTTTTTAAAATTTATGTAAAAATAAGATATGTTTTAAAAAATATGTGAGTGCCAGTAATTATATAAATATCACATTATAATTATGGAGACAATATTTAAATTATTACATAGAAGTCCATTTATATTAGCACCATTAATATCTTGGAATTTTTAATGGTTTCTTTGGGGTTTTTAGAAGGCAATTAATTACAGTTCAGACACTATCGTAGCAGAATTAGTTAACAGGTAGGAATAATTTGTTGTTGCATCGGAGTCTCATGAACTTTTCCGTTAAGCTGTGTCTCTTGGATACTGATGCTAAAAGTTCCATAAAAACATCAGCAAAAGCGTTAGTGGAACAGCAAATGTGTTTGTGAAGTGTGACAATCACGTTCCTAGAACGGTTCCGATTGGCATTTGTTAAGTTTGGTTGACACGACGGGAAGGTCCATCGTGTGGTCCATGAAGAGAGTTTGAATATGTGTAGATATATATTTTTAAATTATGTGAATGATATCGTATTCGAACAATAATTGGAAGGTCTTGGGTTCGGATCCGATAGGGAATAATGTTTATCTCAAATATTATTAATCCACAATAACCCTCATGTTACTTACGATTATTTATTGCGTACTTCGCAATACATTGTGGAAAAATTAATTCCTGGTAGGAAAAATTATATTGACATAACTCTGAAAACAAATTGTGTAAAAATTATTCTGCGATGGTTGAAATAAAGGTGAGATGCACCCACGAAAGACAAAAAAAGAAAAAAAGAAAGAGAAAATATTCGTAGCGCCTCCCCCACACCGTCATCCCGCTGAAAAAAAAAGAAAAAAGAAAAAAAGAGAACAAAATTGAGAAGAGTTAATGGGAGTTCAGTGGCGGATTCAACAGTGGTCGAAAGGAGAGCTCTATTATTTTACCACTCACTGATTTTGAATTTTCTATTGATTTAGTACGAACACAACGTTATATCCCCGACGCCGATTTTTTCCAACGATTTCATAAATCAGGATGTAAAGAGGCCAAGAGACGGTGACCTAAGACTGAGTTTTTTTAGCCATTATTAGACTTTTGCATATTTATCGGGCCAACGTGTGTTCAGCTTCTTGGAAAGACATTAACCCAACTGGCTATACTAATACCACAATAAAGACTAACGTTGACCCGACGTTAAACAAAGTTTACACACTTTTTGAGAAAAATGTCGTCTTAACTATCTGTAGGCCTACTGGTTGGAGCAACGTCGATCCGACTTCAATATACAAGCAATGAAGGTATATTATGCATTTCCAGTTGCTTTTTTTTTTTGTGGGTCTTTGGACAGATAGGTCGAGGAGAATTGTAATTTACATGACTCCGTGGTCTAATGGTTATGACACTCGCCTTGACAGCGAGAGGTCGCAGGTTGGAGTTCCGCCAGAGGCATTTTATTACACCACAATTTCTTTATTCATTTATTTATAGGACTACATTCGTTGAGAGCTTTGCTACTCGATGTCTTATTATGTCCTTTATTCGAACACTGTATTTACCTTTCTTTGATGATTTATATATATTATACATATTTGATGATTTATGTATATATTATATATATATATATATATTATATATATTATAT